GAGAGTCCATGAGCGTATGATTTAATGTGTGGTATGTTAAGTGTGTGTGTGGAAATTGTGTGTGTTTATTGGACATAATGTAATGAGATGATGTAATGGGGTACACTCTGACCTTTCATTCATAATGATTGTTTGATGCTGTTAATGAATTAATGTAATGATTGGTTACTGTCACTCCTGAGAAACTTACTTGTACCACTGTATCTTGTATTTCTCTCTCTCTCCCTCTTTCTTTCTTTCTTTTGTTCCCTCATTTTTGTTCTTCTCTTCTCTCAAGATTTCATGGCAGGATTTGTCATTCTTTGATCTGCTCTTTATGAAGGATTGGGTAAGCTGCCAAAGCTGGTCATTGGGTCACAGAGAGAAGATCATCATGTCTCAGAAATGGGTAACCACTCCACTATCATTATTCTGTTATCTTTTGTCCTTCTTCCACCCTCTCTCAGGTTCTCTGTCTCTCCCTCTTCCTCCCTTTCTCTGTCCGTCTCTCTCTCTCTCCGCCTTTCAGTCAATGAAGTCTGGTTTATTATGATGTCCTCCCTACTACTATTGGAAGGTTTGTACATGTACATGTATAGTACATGTACATATACAAATGTACAGATGTGCATGTGTCTGTTTTTTATACATGCACTTGTGACTTTAAGTGTAATTTAATTATTGGATTCATAAAGGCACTTCATTAATCAGAAGTAAATGCTTTTCCTGATGCATATACATGTACTTAGTTTGTGTAGAAAGTTTGAGCTCATTCCAATCAAAATTAGATTTTTTGACAAGTTGGTGGCATAGGAAATTTTAATGATTATACACATTGTAGGTAGAGATATTCAGAAGGTATTGAAGGTGTGACCACAGACCAATGCCCCGCCCCCTCAGATTCACTACTTGATGTTAGCACCAATCCCAGTACAGATTGGACTCAATAGGTCAATGGAAATGAAAGAGAGGGACAGAATGGGGACATCAAATTCAGTGAGTAGTGAACGATATCCATGTACATGTACTTTTTGATTTACATGTACAGTGTACAGTACAGTATGTATAGCAATGCATCTATAGATAAGGAACTCTCCCATTTGAGAGAGACTGTGTTGTACATGTACAGTATGTACATGTAATTATTGTGTATTAAATCTCATCATTAATTTTCTTGTTATTTTCAAGAGTCCAGATAATGGGATTATCTTATTATTATTGTTATTGCTTTTTTATCTCAGTTTAACTTAGAATGTACATGTACATGTATATCAATTTTCTTTGCATTCATCATGTATTGTATGTACATGTACTCTTCCTGTCCTCCTCCTCTTAGTTCTATCAAAGGATGTGGTATCTTGTGAGGCCATTCATTCCCTGGCAGTGTGTGTCTTACTGGGTGTCTGGTCTATGACTATTGAGCTATTGGGACGGGTCTGTCCTGATTCAGTTGGTAAACTCAAGCACTCAATATTCAACCAGTTGCAAGGTAAAAATATTTGTCAGAATCAGCTCAAACTTTCTACATAGCATAAGGGCATCAAAATGTATCAAATAATTAGGGGTGACTCTAGAGCCAATTTTTTAAAGAAGCCATAAGCTAGAGCCTGTGGTATTTTATTAAAAATTAGTTGTTTAATAAAATGCTAGATTCTTTTAAAATATATTTGTCGGGATTGCTTTAAAACTTTTATGCAAAAGTACATCAATATTTGTTTTAGAAAATGTAATAAAAATTTGGAGTGGTTTTGAAGCTATAGTTTTTACTCAAAAATCAGTTTAAAGTCCCTGTATGATCATAAACCAATTATTTTTTCCAAAAATAAAAAGAAGAGAAGTCTCTTTTTATACAATTTCCCCCAATAAATGTATGTACATCAGACATGGGGCAAGCACTTAAGCACTTGTGCTTATAAGCACTTAAAGCACTTTTTTGTAAGTGCTGAAGGTGCTTGCAAGCATTATTCATATTGCAAGCACTTGTGCTTGACTTGTACTTAAGCTCTTTTTAATGTAAATGCTTTAAAGCACTTTTGAAGCACTTTTTAAGCACTAATGCATGTCTCTTTTATCAGTTATCACTAATATAGCTGTCATGTATGTGTATGACATTTATCATAACATATGCATGAAACCTGCTGTCAGTTTAACCTTTAAAGATGGC